CGTGTGACTAGAGTCACACCGGTTTAGCTCGATTTGATTTTGCAGGTACTAGTCCCGGATCAACAAGTTTGGTGGATGCGAGGTAGTGAACCGGAAGACCGAAATCCACGCATCAACAGAATGCATAGATAGAGTGGTCAGGCAGAATCAGTCTTTCAATTTTTTGCGGGTGATTTTATGAAACCTAGGATCAACAAGGTATATGTCCATTAATTAACTAACTAATTACAATTTTAATTTATTTAAATAAATATATTTTATTTCTATGTATTTTAATTCCTCTCTTTTGAGTAGGTTGATGAATTGCTTGCCACAGATATTAATGTGACCGTCTACCACGGTCAAGTAAGATTTTTATTAATTGTATTATCTAATACCATGTTAAAGATGAATAAACCATTACTCAATCGAAAAACATAAATTGATGGATTAGATAAATTTAATTCATATACTGATATGAAACCTATTTTTATAGGTTGATCTTATTTGTTCAACTAAGGAACAGAAGCATGGATTGAAAAGTTCAAGTCTCTCTCTTTTTCCTCTCTCTCTTAATTATAAGTTATGGTTGGTTTTAATTTGTGGATTAATTATAATTAGGTGGGATGGGCTGAAGGCATTTCTAAACACAGTGAGAAGTCCCCTATTTTGTGGAGATGAGAAACACACAAATGGCTTTACTAAATCTTATAAGAACCTCCACTTCTATTGGATTCTTGGAGCTGGTCACTCTGTCAGCAATTCAATTGATTAAATTTTGCACTTTAATAAATTTAAATTCAATTATTGGGATAAAAATATATATACATACATACATGCATACTTACTTACTTGTATTAAACGTGGTGTTATATTATAAACATAGGTGCCAGTTGATCAGTCGTGTGTAGCATTGGACATGGTGGGTGTAATCACAATACGTATATTTTCTCTTAATCTAGAAAGTAAACTCTTTTTTCTTTAACAGAAGCTCTCAATAAGACAATATCGTTTACAAACTTTGTAAACAATAAAATGAGAGGAACAGTAACTTAATCACTGCATTGAGATATTGAAAAAATCTTTTAAAGCGAGTATAGCTAAACGGTAATTAATATATATTAACAAACAACCTAAAGGTAATTTACAGGTAAAAAAAGGAAACATGTTAAGTGACTGCAAATATGAGAGAGAAAAAAAAGAATCTTGTAACAACCACGTGGATTATAGGAAAAGAATTTCATCACTTCATGGAATATAACACCACCATTCACATAAAAAACAGTGCAAAAATACAAAAACTTGAACAATAATTAAAAATTGCTTAGCAACTAATAAGACAAAGAAATATACTTAGTGGGTGGGATCATATAAAATAAATCTACTTCACAGTATCACGTGAAAGACAACCATTATAATAAATAAAGTGAAATTTGTTACCATCTTAATCAACGGTAACGGTATTACTTTGAGTATTACTCTACTCTTTAGATACTCAATTTCTTCTTGTAAGATTGGAGGTTATGGAGATTACGTACCTAAAGAATTTAAAGAAAAAAAAAATCTCAACCAAAATTGTAGAATCAAATCATAAAACAAGGTATTATTGTCCCGTTACATCCCATACCATGGTACGGTAATCCCATCTTTTTAAGATAGGTATTCTTTCCCCTTCTTTCTATGAACTATAATTGTATATTTTATATTTTACATGTTACATTGCTTTTTTTTTATATAGTACAAAATATGACATGGTTTGATGTGTGTTATATTTCATTAAGGAAGACTAAATTTCAATTTTACAACATGTTAAATACATAATATACTACTCTCTCACATTTGAGATATTTATAAAAACTCGTGAATACCCAAATTGTATCAATGATCCTCAGTTTGTATATGTAATCAACTTTAAATTGTGTACATGTATCATTATATATGTGTATTAATAATCTTGTAACTTTTTACCGATCTAAAATACTTTATTCTCTTTTCACACCATGATCATTTATAGCATCTCTAAATTCGTTCAACGAGTTAAACTAACATGCCTAACTCTAATTTCAATAATTTATCATTTCCTGATAAATTGTATTCATTATGGCTAAAGGAATACTCACTATAGTCCTGTCAACTAATCCACAACGCGTCTTCATCATTCTCTAGTACAATGTATCCTCCAACATCATTTGTAGGATCCATACCCATAAATTTCTCCCAACTATAGTATATCAAATATTTTTTACAATATCTAATGCTTCAAAGTAAGACCGTATTTCCACGTAAAAAACATGGATTAAATCCATCTTTCGTTCTCATATCCCATATCAAGATCACATACGAATATATAGTTAAACACTGATGTATATGCAAGATATAATTTAAATTTGTAGTTTAAAATAAGTACACAAAGGAAAAGTTACTGAACCTGTATTTAAAAAATTTTAAGAACACTTTACAATGTAATATATTTTCTCTTAATCTAGAAACTAAACTCTTTTTTTTATTTTTTAATATAACGTGTGAGAATATAGGATCGAACTCACAAATTCTTGTTTGAAGATATATATCAATTATCATTAAGGTACACTCTTCCCCCTTTAAATAAAAGCTTTGTAAACAATAAAATGATAGTAACAGTGACTTAATCGCTGCACTGAGAAAATAAGTTTACATGTGAAAAAGGAAACACGTGATGCACGTGGAATGCTGTTAAGTGACTGTAAATACAAGAGAGAGAAGAAAAGAATCTTGTAATCACCGCGTGGATCACAGTGCAAAAATAAATAAAAAAAACTTACACGATAATTAAAAATTACTAGCAACTAATAAGACAAAGAAGTATACATTGGGTGGCACCATATAAAACTACTTTTAGTTTTCCAATATCACGGGAAAGATAACCATTATAATAAATAAAGCGAAATGACATAACTCTTCTTGAAATTGGAGGATCGAATATCTTTCTAATATTTATTGTATTTCTATCCATATATAATGAATTAAAGAAAAGAAAAAAATCTCAACCAAAAATAATCCCATCTTTTATCTATTTATAAATAAATACACTTTCCTTTTCCTTTGCACTTAGCAAAACCCAAATCGCCCTCCAATGGCCAAATCATTGTTATTTTTGTGTGCGTGTTGTGTTGTGTTATTTCGTTCTTCTATTTTGAACTTGGGAACTGCCATTACCCAGAAATCCCACGATGGAACTCAAGAGTGGGGTTACGTTCAAGTCAGACCCAGTAAGCCCATTTCTTCACATTTCAATCCTTGAGACATGAAAACATTATTTATATTTTTTTTTATTTTTTATTTTTTAAAATTCGATTGGAATTGTGTTCTTCAGAAGCCCATATGTTTTGGTGGCATTACAGAAGCCCCTTCAGAGTCGACCACGCCTCCAAGCCATGGCCAACCGTTCTTTGGCTACAAGGCGGACCAGTGAGTGGTTTTTTTTTTCCCTCGTAGATATACTACTTATATGAATGTTGGTACAATATATATGTGATATACATTTAATATACTATTGATATGAGTGTCTAATATATTATGGATATATTACTGAGTATCTGATATACTACTTAAAATTTTTGCTATATTTGAAAGTTTTTAAAATAAATGACATATTTTGAAATACATAAAAAGGTTTAGGGGCAAATTACAAAAACCACCCCTGAAATGGAAAATAATGTCCACGATTCTATTAAATCCCTCACAAGTTAATGAATGATGGAGTATATTCCCATTTGTGAACTACCGCTTGTCTACAAAATCAAATATCCAT